TGGAACAGCTGATGTTTGTTGTGTATAATAAGTCGTGTTAAGATTACAAATTGTATTGTACCAATATTTTACACAATATTGGTATAATTTTATACAATAGAACAATCACTGTGAAGTTACAATAATTATTAAACCGTTGAATTTCGACATCGACTTGAACGCTTTTGATCGCCTAACATAAATCACGTCATTGTAAAAATATATCTATTGTCTAAATTTCGGTATACTCTTACTGTAAAGTTTTCACATTAAATATTAAGACACTCACTTGGAACTGTCCAATGGCTCATTATTTGTTTATTCTAGACAGACTGTTACCTACAATTGAAAAGATGGTGCTCGAAAACTATATCAACGGGTAATCGTAATTCTATAATAAAAACAATTACAACAGTAATGAAAATTATTGCTAGTAGAAAAAATGTACTATTGAAAACAATACCAAAATTGCAACCACAAATGATTATCTATGCAGGACTACTTCTGACAAACAACGTTTAATGTTAATTAAAAGGCATAAACTTTTTTCCACATTATTAATACACGTTTAATTGTTTTACCTTGACTTCGGTGTTCTAGCCTACAATAGAATAGTAAAATTAAATCCAATATGTTTTTAAAATACTATTGTGATATGTTAATTTCGGTGGAAATGTCTTATACATGGGCAGTACCGGATAATAGTTTTCTTGGTACATGGTAAATATTTTCACATAATTCTTCGACATTAGCAAGTATAAAATGTTTTCTTTTTCATTTCAGAACATGGTAAAACTTACAAACCAGAGCGTAAACACCTTTATACTATAGTTCATGTTTCATGCCAATCATATTTTGCACATATAATATTGATTTAGAATACCTAATAAAAAACACATTTATTTTGATCATAAGAAAAGAAGAATAAAAACATTATTTTGGTTTTGATTTTTAGAAAGCATTTTGCAGATTTTTAAAACAGAATTAGTCCAAGACCCGGGTAAATATAAAATTTAACATTTTTACTGATTTATGATAAACATTCGATTTGAGTTCAAAATTATAAAACTAAACATTTTTCAAAATGGAAATAGTTTAAATTATATTATTATTTATTACTATTATTTATATTTGGCGTTGATCTGATCTGACTGACTGTTATCGATCAAAATATATAATAACGTATTGTCATTAATAATTGTATACTTATTTTATATATTTTTTCGACAGAGCTTCCTGTTCCTGTTGAATACCAAAGTAATTTCGCATTTATTAAATAATCCTCATGGCTTAGACAATCAATCAAAAGGTGTAAAAGTTAATCGGTATTATTTAGACAGATTTCCCGAACAAAAAAAAATGTTGCCTCTTTATCCCAAATTAATTAATTACCTAAGAATATTGTTTAACATTTTTAATGTATGCCTTAAACGATGTAGATTGTACTTACTAGCCGATGTATATGTGTGACAATTATCTCTATTGAAGTTTTAAATATTTTCTAGAAATAGTCTTATTTAGTAAACACATGCACTGCACAGCATCTTACAATAAAAATATGTTACCAAAATGTTTAACACTGTTGTAATTATTATCAAATTCAATGACTAATTTGATTAATATTTGTTCATTTTCGCTAGTCGCAGTACTTAGACTAGTCGTTAATAAAATATTAAATTATCACGGTAAAAACACTTATGTTTAGTTTCTAAGCAACACGCTTATTTATTAATTTTTATAGTTGATGGAAACATATGCTTGTCAAATCTTGGAATAGAGAGACGAAATACAACTAGGAAAGCTTTCAAAACTATAATCAACAGTATATTAGGTAAATATTCATAAAAAATTAATTGTAATAGTTTTTGTATATTTATATATGCTGAGTATTTAAAAAAATGTATTTAATTATAATCATTAACAAAGAATAACAATAATTATAATAATAATGATTAATTCACAAACGCATGTATCAAAGATTTATTCTTATCTCAGTAAAATTAATTAAATGTTTTAATTTATAAAAATAGTAGTATAAAATTCACATAATTCACTCGTACGTTGATAGTTTATTAAAATATTTTTCTATCATAGCTTATGCTATGCATTTTACAATATATTTAATAGGTGACAATGCACAATACTAAAAAAAAAATATGAGAAATTAGTTTTTGTATCAATTGACCCAATAAGTGATTAGCAGAGTACTAGTGTTGCTATATTTCCAAAAAAATGAGAATGCTTTGGGTTTATCTTAACATCTAGACACACTACTAACACACCTTTTCCTTAAAATACACAATCCACTACAGAGTTATACCTTGAACAAGGGGAAAATTCAATTTCCAATGACAATATTTTTTTAACATTAAAAGTTTCTATTTTTCTATCTAATACAATTAAACATGAAACAAACTGAATTTTTTAGCTCCGATGCGGTATTTTTAAAAAATTTTTTTTTACCATTTTGATGGATTGAATCTATTGGTTATGATAGGGTGTTCGACCTTGTTCCTACCATTTAAAATATGAACACTAAGAGTGACATGTCTGCACAATACGGACACTCTGTAATTGTATTTTTATTTCTACGAGTGGTCATACACGTGTAAAAGTCGTATCTAGTAAATACAGAAAAGTAGTAACAAAATATAAGCTAAATTGGTATTTTTTTTTTCACCGTTCAAGATTGCAACAATCAAAATTTCGCAGATTCCCCCCCTCCCCTATTGTGTCATTTAATAGGATTGCACAGAAGTATAAATTACCCAGATTCATTTGTAATGGCTGCTGAGGTTGACGAGGACGGAATTTGTATTCTAACAGACATAAAAAATAAATATTATCAGCTACTCATCATCATTGGTGGCTGCATCTTTGAAGTAGATGCTAATAATGCGGAAATTCAGGAACTTTCTGCACAAGTGAACTATTTGGAATAAGGGCAACTTATTTTACAGTACTATTAGAATTGTATATAATTCAGTTTCGTAAACCTTCTAGTACAAAAATTGTCAAAAAATGTAATGTATTAATAAATAAGTAGTTTTTATCACGACTAGAAGAACATTTGTTGCCTATGTATTGTAATTATATTGTTATACTTTTTCACATGTTCGGATAATATTGCAATAGTGGTGTAAATATTCCCATACTTGGGAAAGAACCACATTAAAGCCGTATAAAAAGCCATACAATTTCGATATGCAACTACAGAGCCTGTCGCATTCCATGCAGCGCCATCTAGGGATGATAGAGTGAATTATTTATAAACTGACAGTCCATCACTAGATGGCGCTGCATGAAATAACTACTATTTACTAAGATTAATCAGTTAACGCTACGAATCGATATGATTAACTCTGCCTATATTATGTTTCTAAGAAAAACAATCTAAAAAACATTTTTAAAAAAACTACCTCAGGTATTGTATTTATACAAATATTGCGTTTTAAATATTACCAATAGTACTATTAGTTTGACGTATGAAAATTGTTTACATTAGGTTCGTAATAGTTATAAAATAAAAGAGCACAAGTGACAAAACATCAAATATATTTTTAAGTTTAAGGTATATTTTAAAATCAGGATGACTACTTTAGTCTTTAAGTGTATTAATAATATGTACTAATAAATAGCTACTCGACTAAAATACCAATATTAAGATTTGGCCCTAGAGTGCCAATAACAATATGTATAACCGCTTAATACAGGTGTTTATACTATTTATATTTTGTGTAATATCATTATTATTATGACTATAAACTGACAAATAATAAATCAAACGATATTTGCTGTTTAACAACAGATTCTCAAAGCACGGCGTGTGTGTGCTATTAAAATGCAAAATGATACGCCAGACTATTTTTTATGTATACAACACATATTATAATATGTCACATAATAATATTATATTGTTTATACAACCTTTTTACCTTCGATGCTTTGAGGTTGTATCGTATTTAGAATGATGTTTTTAATTTTTTTTTTTCTGGTCTGTACTCAATAAATCTTTAAAAACCGCTGAACCGATTTCTTCGTGTAGCAAATCCTAAGATCAGAAATCGTACCTTAAAAGTGTAGTAATGGGCTAAAAATTCAAAAAATTCAGCCCTTTCCCTTCAAAATCGAGAAAAACACCAAATCAATTTTAATAATTTTTAAAAATGTCGATGCTCTTATATTGTGCTTGGTTTGGACTGTACTGGTTTGAACCTACTATCCACAGATTCACTTACAGTTATAATAATTCCTGTAGATCCATGACTTCCCCGTCATTACTATGTCTCGACTCTGTACTGGCTTTTTTTTGGTTTTATTATAACGTTAATTATTATAATACTAGCAAAATAAAATGGCCAAAAGAGACGTTTTTCCATGAATAAAAAAACCAATTAGCTTAATTTGCAAAAAAATTCTAAATATATATTTATTAATTTTATATAATTTTTTAAGTTTTCGATTCACATTAACTCATAAGAGTGTCGAAAATTTGTTCACTGGCCTGTACACCATTTATATTATATTGTTATGGAAACAAGCTAAAAATAGTGTAGCTAATATTTCGCTTATGTCGGGGCGTTTGTAGTTTTATCCAAGATAATTTGGGCCAAGCTGTTTAACGTACTCTTATTGAGTGGGACTAAAAAAAAAGCAATAAAGTCCTAACCAAGCACAGCCTAATACTATACAGCTCGTTAAGAAATCACCACAGTGAGTATCAACAGACTCGTGGCAAAAATATTTTTTTCACATTATTGAAAATTTCATTATTTTTCTAACCGATCAACCATTTGAAATATTCAATGCATTATTATCCACTTAAAAATTAAACTCTACCAAAAGGACTTATAAAGATATGGGATATGTGAATTCATTTTTTTTTTTCATAACTAATAATAGTGATATTTGGTTATGAAATTCTCAATTTGGATAGCCTGTGTGTTATATTATAATAAACATTAAATTATGTTTTATTAAATTGAATTTCAATAGTAAAGATATAAATAGAAAATAAACGATTTCCAAATGTAGTTAATTATAATTTATATGATGTGAAATGTATTATGGAAAATCATTTTCTTGACTAGTGATTAGCGCTTTTTTAAGACTCTAATGTGGTTCTACAGAAAATATGCGAAAGAGTAATAGCTAACAATATAAATACAATACATTAGCAAGAAACATGTTTACAGCTATGATTGAAACTATTAAATAATTTAAATTTAGCGACAATAGTCAATAAAAAAATAATATAGCATCTATTATTAACTGAGTTGCTCATGTGAAATGTGAATCCTGGTCCAAATAATTATAACTGATCAGAAAGTGGCTGAATTAGGTCATCATTAGGTTTTAATTCCCAAATACGGTCATCTGTACAGGATCTGTATCTGATAATTTTCCCGTTTCTATCTGTTAGAATACAAGTTTCCGTCTTGTCGGTCTCAGCTTTAATCATGTATAGTTCTGGATATTTTATACTTCTGAACAAGCCAATTAAACGGCACATGGCGAAAAAATCTTCGAAGTCTCGATCGTTATCACCTTCAAAAAAAACATGATCAAATTTAGCTTGTTTATTAAAAGATAAGGATGTGTTAGCGGTCACTATAGACGTTATGTACACACAACGCCTTCCAATATTATGTAGTAGATATAGTCTTACTCTGGCAAGACTCTGGTAATCACTTATTAAGTCAGTTGTAATATTTTTATTACTACCGCTATACCATATAAAAATTATAATAATGAAATAAAAGAATAATTTTAATTTTTGACACGAGTAGCTTTTATATCTTGTTGCATAGCATAAACAAAGTAATGACACCACAGCTTAATAATTGTTACTTTTAGGTTAACTTTCAACTTCATCATGTTGCCATCCATTTTATTGTAAAAATGTCTATTTATAACTTATTGGGTAAATGTTAAAAAAACCAACTGGTTATGTAAAGAACGGATATTGTATTAAAACCAAAAGAGTCCATAGACGATCAAAGCACAAGAACTTAATGAAAAAAAAAACAAAGTCTAATGTCCATAATGTTTTTACTAAGTGTTTGTTAGGAAAAAAGTCTAGTCAAACATTCATGTTTTGTAAATCTATACTTCGGTTATTAAAACTAAATTTGTTTGCTAATGCGATATGTCTGTAATTGAACTATTACGTTTTTTGTATCATGGTAATCATTTAAATATAATAATAACTGAAAAAGATATTTTTTTATAAATTAATAAAGTAAATACGGTTAAAATAAATTCAATTATTGTATAAACATAATATTATATTTATATATAAAATGATAAAACAATTATATAAGACTATTTACGTGTGGCACCGCGGATTAATGTTTTTGTAGCTTCTCTAGTTATAATTCTTCTCTTATTTCCATAAACTGACAGATCAATGTTCCCATCAAAATTGTCTTAACAACAAATAATAAGAAAATAATAATAAATTAGTTGCTCGTGGTAGTATTGCATTGCACTTTAATAAATGTTGTAATGTTACCAATTTTTGCTTTAATGAGGCAAACATATATAATGCTAACCTCTCGCCCATCATTGGCAAAAAAAAAATTAATGTAATTTACCGTTATGACGCACTATATCAAGTCAACTACACACTATCAAGTCCCAAATTAGTATAGAGCTAATATAATATAGTGTATTAGTGTACCTATATACTATTATATAGTATAATAATAGTGTAGTACTAACTAAGAATGTAATCAATCAATTTAGTTTTGTATTTGTGCTCTCTTGTCATAACAACTTATCAGACCTATCATTAACTTTGCTCGAATCCCAATTGACCAAGCAGGTCCTAGTAGACCTTTAAACATTAAGCTCAGTTTTGCCTGATATAATATTATGATCGAGATTACCTTGGATTATCTCAGGTATCTGGATATGAATATCTGTAACAAAAATATAAAATACAAAATAATTATACGGTTTACAGATTTTTTTAAAAAATATATTATCTATTACAGCCGTCCTAAAACTGAGAACATTTAGACTAATTAATCAATGTAAACAGTTTGAACTTATAGTAGCCACGGTTGTAAATCCGTTTATGCCAAAGGTTAATATGAATTAGGTTTTCAGCAATTATCAAAACTTTAACCCTTTCAGACCCGCGTGCCATTATAATGGCACAACAAAATAAAAGCCGTTATAAAATTCAATTCAAATAATATCTTTGTGTAATACATATATATATACACGTAAAAACATGTGTAGAATACGTTAAAAATGATAAGAATGCAATATGGACGAAATATGAAAAGATAATGAAAGGTTATCAAAAAAAAAAAAGTTGGCTAAAAATTTTTTTTTTTTTTTCACATTATCTTCAATTTTCAACAAAAAAATAAACACTAAAAATCCCATATTTTTTTTTTTGCTTCTCAATTTATATTGTATGCATATTATGATTGAATATCGAGATTATCTCTTACCGTTATCATTTTATTGTACCTCCAATAGTATGTCATTACAATGGCAATTGGGCGTCAAGTGTTGCTAATCAACTAATTTTACCTTGGTAAACGATTTTTGTTATCAAACAACAGAGATAATAAAACCCGCATTTTTCTTATCAAATTTGATATACTGATCGTCCTGAGCAATTTAAAAACTTCGTTTATACGTTAAATGTAAGTATTTTAAACATTTAAATTGTTAATTTTTGTTTTTTATTATTCTTAAAATAATACGAATATTTTATTCTTTCTGTTAAAGTTTTTATTCAAAGAACATTTTACTCTATATATTGTTTTTTTATAAATGTAATGTTAATTTTGTTTGTATACCTAAAGAATATATGTATATGATAAATAAAATTGTTTTATACCTAGGTATATTGTTAATTTTATTTGTTACAAATAGTTTTAAGTGTTAGTCAACAGTAAAGATTTATAAAAAAAAAATAGAACTGAAAAAACTTGGTTTATTATTGTTTTGTACCTCAACCAGTTGGTGCCCGTTTGTCATCCTAATGGCATAACGAATGACAACCTTTAACGCCCATTTGCCATTACAATGGCAAGTCTCAGGATCTCAGTACTGAGTCGACAAAAAAAAAATTTTTTTTTTTAATTTCTTAGTTTGAATGATATTTAAATGAATCCATGACAAAATTTTTTTTTTTCACGGGATCATAATTCGGGTCTGAAAGGGTTAAGCAAAAACATATAGGTTTGTGATTCAGTTTTTTCAATCGAATATTTATCGCTTATTTTTAGTTTTATATAATTGATAATAATCAATTGGTAATTTTTTGTAAAAAAAGTGAAAATGTTGTATATTTTACTTGTTGACATCATTATTTCTGTTTGCATTTGAATCTGATACAGTACCATTCCTAAAATTCAAAACAAAATAAATTTGAACACAAATTCTTTATCGTGATTAATATGAAAGTAACTATATGATTATTCTCAATATGTGAGGCATTTAAAAATTAATGTAAATTTAAAATATATATCATATAAAGGTGATTACGGCTTTTGTTATCGTCGTCTGTATATTCTGAAATTAAAATATAACAATTTCAAAAATACCAAACAACTGTGTAGAAATATTTTAATAAAATATTGTTACTATTCTTGTATAAAAAGTTTATACCTGGTACTGCCAACATGAAAGCCATTTCCTCTGAAATTAAGATACCATAAATGCATTTTTTTAATGACATAAGATTTTATCCATTTTGGAAGAAATGCACTTGGATGTGTTATATTAAAACGTATTGAGTGGTAATAGCTAATTTTGAGTAATTGTAGCGAGTAGTATAAAATATAACCACATGCTGAGGTCAACAATAGTAACATCTGAGTTGCTTGTCGAAAATATTTCATTGAGAAAAAAAATAAAATTAAGATTATACCATTGATAAATTTGAGTTGATACAAGTTATTGTTGCAATTTTTATATAATTATCGAAATATTTTTCTACTTGCAAGCTTTACTGTTACACAACTACGTTGTAGTTGTCATTCTTATTGTAGAATTATAATTACTCATCGAAGATGGTCCAAGGACAATTCTCTTAATTATTTTCGGCATGAAATCTAGAAGAAACAACATATAATGGTTTGGGGCAGGACAAGCAATACTTATGATTATATATAGTTAGAGAAAAAAAAAATATATAATTTTTTAATTAGGCCAAACACATAAAAAAACATTACAATAGTTACATTGGTGTATACTTATTTTTAAATTAAAATTTACCTATTGCAAGCTCGATATGTCTGTCTGTAAAAAATTATATAAAAATATTGGAATTAAAAAAAAATGTATATTTTGTATGAAAATAAAATGTTTACTGACTAGTTATGATGACCTGCTTATCACGTATATCTGTAAATAAAGTTAAGCATTGGGTTTTTTTTTTTATAGATTTGTACTACCTAATGTTGGTATATGTAACCAATGAAAATATAGTCACCTAATACAGCCACAAAAGCCTTTACTAAGGCAAACGATATTAAAACACATAACAAATTCATTTTTATCTGCAAACAATAGTAAACGTTAAACGTCTTTGTATTAGACTCAGCTTAATTCATCGAATATGTGCAGCTTATATGTGGAGTTGAAGTGTTAGATGTACTTTTATTTCAATTTATTTTTGTACCTTTAAAACCACTGTGTTGATAGTATTTTATAAAGAATAGAAATTAAAAATATTCCACTTTTTTGTTCCAAAACAAAAGGGCTGTCTTAAAATGTAGACTCTTTTAAAAATAGTTCCAACAAGACAACATGGAAAAATAATTATGTGTACGATTTTTAGTAAATAAAACCCCTAAAAATGTTCACTTGAAATTACAACTTTTTAAAAACTTTAATAAAATCGACTTAGTGGTTAAAACGTCACCACAAAAATAAATAATTAGAAAAATATTTTTAAAAAAAAATTACATACAATCTTAGAAGTAGTTTAGTGTTACCCAACTAAATTTTTGAAACAATGCAACTTATAAGCAAAATTGGTATTCGACCAGCTTGTCACACGGTTGAAACTGTTTTAAATAGATTTGTGGATGGTCTTTTCCGTCGACCGAAACAATTAAATGCAAATACATTTTCAGCGGGCCTATGTTAATTTGTTTGCATAGCTGTTTTTTTATTAATATGATTGCATTAATTCACATGGTTTAGACTATCTTATACTTGATTTTTTTTTTTTACCACGTCTCGGTGACAGTGTGTGGGTCAAATTATTTTTAGTATGAACTTCCAGGTCAAAAACCCGATTTATTTTGTTATGGCTGCCTCAAAACGTTTGTCGTAGAGTTTATTTATTATTTTGGGTTGCCAGACGCTATTACAAACGTTATAACTACCTATACAAACATGAATAATCTATATAATATTTTCAGGGTCGATGGAACATTGAAAACAGCTAGGAGGTTAAAATTCAAAACTTCAACAAAAACCCAAAAGTAACAAATACACTGTTGATATTATCGACAATATTGAAATTTCAAATATTTGTCTACACATTAATTGAACTAATTGTAATTGCTGTTTCCATTTGAACACATTAAGTCAATAGTATTGGTACGTGTGAGGGACAAAGACAAAATGATTCAAGTAAAGTGTTTTTCTCTCAGAATATCCCAATTCGGAAAATTCGAAAAATGTTTAAATACAAAATGTACAATACATAAGCAGCAACAAATGCGTTTATGGTAGTGATTAAAATTATTGTTTATTATTAAATAAGCTACATTTTATTGGACAATTATTTGAATATTACTGTGGCACGCAAAAACTATTTAAATATAACAATAATAGTAGGTACTATATTGTAAACCGAGTTATCCTTATCACTCCTGTCGCAAACTATTATAACTGATCAACAAATGGCCTGCTTAGGTCGTTGTTAGGTTTTATTTCCCAAATAACGCCACCGATGGATCTGTATCGGAATTCATTCAGGTGTATATCGGTCACAGTACAAGTGTCAGTCTCGTCAAGCTCAGCGGCTACTATATACGAATATGGATTGTTTATACTTTTGAACAACCCTATTAAAAGACACATGTCCGAAAAATCTTGGAAATATTTTTTTACTTTATCTCCTCCACCTTAAAAAAACAAAAAAAAAACCAATTCAAATTTAGTATATTTGTTGGTTGTGCTATATTTTTAAATAAGGAGTACACGGAAAAATACCCTAAAGTTGTATACATTTTTAATTTTGTCTATTACTTATAAAAGTATTAAAAAATGTAATTAAAAAAAATATATACATATAGTTTGTTTAATAATTAATTATATAAGTTACTGTCATTGAAAATTGAAGTTTTATCTTTTTCAGTAAAACTCTGTAGGTAGTGGATTGTGTATTATGAGAAAAGTATTTGTTAAGAAATTATATTTATTATAGAGAATTGATATTGAAAATCAAGTAACAAGTATACTCTGAGTGTATGACAGAAATAGTGTCCAGTCCAATACTACCTATGTTGTGTGACCTCTACACTTTTATTAAAAAAAAAAAAATAATATATTTGTCTGTTGTTTAATTAAGAATGAATTTCTGTAAATTAATTAATGTTTCTCTTGTGTTATGATAATTGTTTGATAATAGTTATTGAAAATGAACATTTTTTTTTGAAATTTAATAAAACTAGTATAATTGAAATTGACACAATTATTATATATACATACATATATTATGGTAAAGCAATTAAATATGAATATTTACGTATTTCAGCGAGAATTAAAGTTTTTGTAGCTTCTCTTGTTATAATTCTTCTTTGACTTCCGAAATGTGCCAGGTTAATTTCCTCATCGTAATCGTCTTTATAACAAAATATAATGAACAAAGTATATAATAATAAATCAATTGCCCGTGAAATCATTGCAGTTCATTTTAATGAATTGTAATTTTACCAATTTTTGTACAACCTGACATTAATACACAACAGGTACTTTATTGAGCTAATTTAAAATCCTAACTCCTCCCCTTTAAATTTTAAAAAATACCTAGAAGTTAATGTTTTGGCATGCTATAGTTTTTGTATACATAATCGAACCTTATCTAAAGTAGTATAGATATTTGAATATGTTTTGAATACATTGTATTGTCTAACTTAAAAAATATAACAATCACCAGAGTAAAACCAGGAAAACCTGAAAACTAACCCTCAAGCAGCTATCCAACCATTGCCCTTCCCAGCGCATGTTTCAAACTCCTTGAAAGCTTTATGCACATCCACATTATGCCTTTCAATCACGCTCAAATTCCCATTGACCCCCTTCACCAATTGACAGATCAATGTCCCCATCAAAATTGCCTTAACAACAAATAATAATAAAAATAATAATAAATTAGTTGCTCCTGGTAGATTTGCATTACACTTTAATAAACTGTAATGTTCCCAATTTTTTTTTAACACCTGGCATTAATACATAACAAGTACTTTAATGAGGCAAAAATTTGATTTGCTAACCTCTCCCCCAAAGAGTAAAAACCAGGAAAACTCAATCAACGGTTTTGGTAAAACCCATTGCAACCTCTTAAAAAGGATGTTCAGTTTTGTAATAAATAATATGACTTTGAGTTACAAAACCAGCAAGAATTGTAGACTAAACAACGGCCTACCGCACAAGCAAACAGGTAAAATATCCGTAAAATTGGTTGGTCGATTGTGATTACCTTCGTTTATCTCAGGTGTGCGGGTATCTATAACAAAAATGTATAAAACAATCATGCAATTAAAAAATACATTTTTTTTTGTATTTTTAACAGCCATCCTAAAATTGTGAACAATCAATGGGAAATAATGTAAGCAATTTAAACTTCTAGTAGCCGCCGAGGATGATTTCAACAAGTCTTGAACGATCATTAAAGTTTTAAGCGAAAATATATATAATTATATGTTAACAAATATTAACTTAATATGTTTTGTAGTTTTTCATTTAGAAGTATAATACAACAATCAAATTTAATTACAGTTCATGTATAAAACAGTCGAATTTTATATTTACCAGTTGACGTTCTTATTTCTGTTTGCATTTTGATCTGGCTGCATAGCAATACTAAAATTCAAAACACAATATACTTTAATGTATATAATTTCCTAAGATAGAAACAATAATGTGTATGTGAAAGATATAAAGGTGATTACGGCCTATGTTGGCATCTGGGAATTCTGAAATAAAAATAAAAATATTTCATGTATATTATGAATACCAAATAATGTTCAAAAGAAGTATTACCCGGTACTGATAACATATAAGCCATTTCATCTGTAATTAAGATAATGTATTATATGTATTGTTTAAATTTGTATTCTATAAGAAATACAAATGTTGTTAAAAAAAAAAAGACTGAAGACAAGATGAAAATACATATGCTTTATAAATTCAGAAAAATGTGATTAGGATCTATTTTATTTGTATCGAGTGGATACTGTGATAGTGCAATTAAAGTAAATTAGGCGAGTAGAACAAAATGTAATGAATAGATGATGTGTGAAGTAGAGATGAGATTTTATAGTAAAATTTATATCACTGATCTAGTTGCGTAGATAAAGGTATGTCGCTGCAAATTTTTTTTCAATATCAAAACATGTTTAATCTTTATTATTGTTTTTATTATAAAATCATATAATTACGCATCGTGTATGGTCCGAGAACAATGTTTTTAATTATAAGCGGCAAGTTATCTAAAATAAACAAATATCGGTTAAAGTTAGAAAAAACTTAAGCAATACTGATGATGGTAATATTATATAGTTGATAAATTAAATAATAAACTATTTAAGTGAAACCCCCTGGCTACAAAAAATACCACCTTCACACCACTTCATTCGTTATCTGAGCAGGTGAAAGAGAGTGAAATTTTCGATTTATGAATCATTTGATCATCAGATAAACATTAAAATAATATATTAGTAAATAGATATAATTTTAATTATATTTTACTTCCTGCAGACTCGATGTATCCGTCTGTAATAAATTGTGTACAACTATTAAAATTAAAAAATTATTTTGTTTAAAAAAAAAAATGTACTGACTTGTTTTGATAACTTCCTTGTCATATCCATCTATAACAAAACAAAGTTAAATGTTGAGTTTTTTTTTTTTTTAGATTTGTACATTTCTGGTGTTAAAATTAAATAGTCACCTAACGCAGCTACCGAAACATTCAGCAAGGCTAATGGTAGAATAACACATAAAATTTTCATTTTTATCTGCAAGTAATAATAACTATTAAATGGTTTTATGTTCATTCACCAGCTTTAACGTGGCGCTGAGATGTTACTAGGATCCACTTATTTAACCCAATCGACCGCTGCTTTGTTTATAAAGGCAAACTTGGCAAATTACAACTTTTTTTTTAAATTTGCGAATTAATACAATATTTTCTTAGCGGGTTAGTAGTTATCGCAAGCACACACAACAAATATATATGGAACTGGTAAGACTTTATAAAATGTAATCAAAACGTACTTACAGTATAAAAAGATTAGTTTAGTATTGCTCAATTAATATATTGAAACGATAGAATTAAATATCAACTTGAATTGTTTTAAAATGATTTTCTTGTAACTTGTAGGTGGCTTTTATAACAATCCGAAACCGTCGAAAATCGAAATAAATTATTTAGGGTGCTTTAGTTAATTTGTTTACTTAGCTGTTATTTTAAAATTCAATTAAATATTTACATTAAATACTGATGCGGAGTTGGGACAATTATTTTATTAATATTTTGTTATAGTATTACTCGTAAAACTAATTTACATTATAAACTATAATATTTTTTTTGGCGAAAATTCCTTTTTAAACTGAATTCAACATACATTATTTTTTATAAAATTGTTTTGAAAAAAAGTCTTCGGTGAAAGGTTTATTGGTTGAATCTTTGGTTTTATTTTTAATCTTTTGTCTAAGATATTTGTCATCGCTGTTATTCATATACATTTTTCCAACTATTGTAGCTTCTTAATTTAAAAAACTGTTTATTAGCAGAACATATTATTACATATTATTAAAAAATAGAGAACAGGATAGTAAACAAACCCCTTCGAGTATACCGGGTGCCGGGTTAATGATTGGGCCGAGGAAATATAGTTTTAATTTTGGATAGTAGTATTATAAAATAATTATTTTTATATAATATTTGCACATCTAATCTAGAGCAGGTCTATCCACCAGATTGTAACACCTAAGCGGTTATAAGTATCTGATTCAGTCTTGTATTAAAGTTTAAAACCTAAGCTTTGTCCATCTAGAGCTATTAGACGACCAAAAATGAGGCCCGGTATAAATTAGCACAGGCTCTGTGGTAGTCGGTTTAAATTTTTACTATACACCATAAGCACATTTTTTATTATTTTAAGTTTTGGTTACTTGCACAGTCATAATATAATATGTCTTACAACAATAATCGATTAGTCTGTTTTTTTGTTTCATTATTACTAATACTGATACACAGCTGCGAAGATAAATTTAGATTAACTTTATTTGTCTTAACATTAACTAAAATAAATAATTTATTTATTATATATACACAGAGTGATTAATTAAACGAATACATTACGTCTTATTCTATTTGTATTAAGAATTTTATTGTGGAAATCATAAATATTTTAGCCGCGATGCGGTGCTGAGAAGGTATTGTATTTACACAGATGTATTTTTATTTATTATTATTTTTTTTTTTTTTAGGGATTTAGGTCTGAAATTTAGACTGGAGGTAGATCTAAAATGGAACTATAACATATACAATTCTCTCAAAAGTCTGTAAGCCCTCCAAAAATTACACTTTGGCCGTGGTCAATCTACAGGTTGCTACGTGTGAGTGAATTGACAGTCAACAGGTAATGAAAATAATATGTTCTTTATACTGTTAACTACGATACGTTTATGGGTAACTATGACAATACACTTTTATAGTTATAAAATTGTATACGTTTATTTAACTAACAAGCTTTATTATTATCATTTTATTAAAAAATTATAATTACTCATCGTATAATTTCCACGAACAATGGTTTGAATTAGGTCCGGCAAAACACCTTGATCTAACAAACAACAACGTTTATTATTTAGCTCGGGGGTTTTCAAGTATTTTAATTTTAAATATATATTACTTCTTGCTATCTCGATTTCTGCGTCTGAAAATAAATTATATAAATTTAGTATAAACCTTTGCGCAGTATGAAAAAAACAATTTTACTGACTTGCTTTCTCAACGTCCATGCGATAATCTCGATCTGTGAAAAAATTTCAAAGTTTAGGTTTTTCTTTTATAGATTTATACTAACTAGTGTAGGTATGTGTAAAAAAAAAATAATCACCCAATACAGCTACCAAATTATTTACTAATGCCAAAGATATTGAAATACAAAAAAATGTCATTTTAATCTGCAAATAATAATAATAAACATTATGTATTTTTATTTCAAAATCAAATTACACCTTTTTTAAAAATGGTAAAAAAAAAAAATCCAAATTTGTATACATTTTTTTGTTTTGTAAGTGCAGTTTTGGGAATTGCTTTGGTTTTAATTCTATTAGGAATTCGAATAGGATGCCTACACAACAGGATGCCTTTACAACATAAAAAACATTTAAACTGCTGTATTAAGCTCCCTCTCAATGTCCTTGATATTTGTGTCCCAATGAAACTGATCTGTTGCGTGTACGGCTAATATTGGTACTAGTGTTCTATTAACCCGTTCGACTTGTCCGTTTGCTCTGGCATGGTTAGTAGAATTCAGTACATGGTGTATCCCCTGATCGGCACAAAACTCCTGGAATGCAGTTGATGTGAAACAACTTCCTCTGTCACTTATAATCCGCCTAGGATATCCACGTTGTTTGACGAATTCCGTCATTATGCGAATAAATACGGAATAGTACGGGTATCTGTACTCCTGGTTGGGTGTAACAACACATATTTGGTCAGATTATCAATGATAACCAGTAAATACCGATTTCCCTTGGTACCTGTCTCGAATGGTCCATATGGATCGTGTCGAATGGTCGTGTACCAGGTGGTATTGGGTGTAATACCCCTTGCTTGTTGCCAGATTGTTTGTTCGCCATCAGACAGTCGATACACATATTTATGTGCTGCCTCACATAACGTCGCATGCGCGGGAGCCAATAGTCCTCGGTTATTTTTGCCAATGCAAAGTGACCACTTTGCTCATGGGCAGCGATGGCGATTCATTTTCTCATTGACCGTGGTATCACCAGCAGCTCCCTTCCATCCACGACCCGGTATAACAGTCCATTCCTGAGTATTAAATTGTGCACCACACTTTTCTCGTATTTGGACTGGTTTTCTCCTTCCTATTGTAGAATATGAACGAGTCTCTTGATGTCGCAGTCTCCCCACTGCATAAGTCTTACGCGTTCTTCAGGCGTCAAAAACGTGCAGACGTCGTAGCGTTGATTGATTGTTTCCTCGACGTCCATCACCGCTTCGTTAGTTGGGACTCTACTCAACGCATCGACATGAGCCATTCAGGTTCAGTTCTTTTTCCGTTTTCCCTTGCAATAACATTCCCGCTAAAGCTCTACTGCTCGCATCAGTATGCAACTGTGTCACCAGTGCCCGCGGGTCGTATAGTTGCAATACCGGTTCGTTAATTAGCCGCTCTCTTAGCTCATTAAACGCTAGCTCTTGGGCAGCGCAGTCCATTCAAAAATACAATTTCGCTTTGTCAGCCGCGTAAGGGCCTCCGCCACTTCAGTGTATCGGTGAATGAATCTTCGGAAGAATCCAGTCAGACCGAGGAACCGACAAACCGCATGAGCGTCCTCCGGTACTGGGTACTCGCTAATAGCTCGAACCTTATCTCCTGGGCGCAATTGTCCCTTCGGAATTCAGAATCCCAAAATATACCGAAGTTCGGCAGCACCAAACACACATTTTGGTGGTTTGAGAGTTAAGTTGGCCCGCTGTAGCGCTTGTAAGACGTCACGTAGGGTGCCCATGAAATGTTTCCAGTCCTTGCATGACAGTATTATGTCATCTAGACAACAGTGAACTGCACCCGTTGACAGTACACCCTTCGACACTTCAGCACTTTGTCCATCAGTCTTTTAAATTCGGCTGGCGCATCCTTCAGTCCAAATGGCATTCGTTCGAACCTCGCTGGTGTATCTGGTGTTATGATCGCTGTTTTATCCTTAGCTGCTTCCGTTAATGGGATCTGTAGATACTAGATACCCATTAGCCAGGTCCAACGTTGCGAATACTTCTCCCTCCGACAGTGCACTCAATTGGGTATCAATATCCGCCATGGGGTATGGTTGCCCTTTCGTTTGCTTGTTATGGCGCCTGTAGTCAATACACAGTCGCTTCGAACCGTCTTTTTTCCCAACTAGTAGTACTGGACTAGCATAAGGTGAGTTTGAATCGTCGGTCTTCCCGTCTCTGTTCATTTGATATGTGCGCATTTCGTTTCGTTTGTCTTGGAAGCCCAGTTGTTCCACTCGTCACGGGTACGCACACTTTGTTCGACTCGTCACGGTCACCACGCGGTAACCCACTCGACCGGACTACACTTCACCGACGCGACACTAGGTTCCCAATCGTTCCAACTAACCTAAGAAAAACGGCACCCACGCGTCGACCGCCACACATACACTGATGGACAGTCCTACAAGTATATAACATGAAGAAAAACCCCTTCCCCCCACTATTTAATTATCTAGTACATATAACGCTATACTTTATGTGCTGCAGTACTTGTAGAATACGGTACGAACATTTTTTTAATTAACTCAACTATATTTCGAATGGTACAACTTGAAGTAGTTTTAGGATAACAAACAATACAGTAAAATTTAGGTTATTTGATGAATTTTGATTCTTAACATTGTTAACATATTATTATTACTTTTGGCGTGATGAAATACCATATATGTATTATAGTATATGCGAATATTATGCCGTGTACAACTTCTGTAAGTAGCTTTGCGATTAAATGAAATTAATTTATCGGTTCAAAAGTTATCGCTAGCAGATACAAAAATTAATAATTATTTAAACTTAACAAAATATATAAATAACTATTACTTACCATTTTTGATGCTGATTAGTCTTAATTAATTTAATTGATGAATCGATGGAATTTACAAGCATAATACCAAATCGACCGATTGTTAAATTGTTTCAAAGTGTTTTTTTTGTGTAGTGTAGTTATGCTTTTTGTCGACAGAAACAGAAAAATCAAAATAGATCTTGCATGGTGCCTATGTTCATTTATTTGCTTAGTTGTTTTTTTTTTATATGACTATATTTGCATTACACTGACGCAAGTTCAGACTATTTTCTTTTTTAAATGTGTCGTAGCTCAATAACATATCATTGTTAAAATCGTTGTAAGCCAACTACTTTCTTATAATCATATCATGTAGGTATATAGCTTTCGTTCCAAAACCGGGTTTTTTTGTTAGAAAATTAAAAATTACTTAGAATAAATATCACCTCGGCTCTAAATATCACCCTGTATATTAGAATGTAAGGTATTACAATACTAACAATTTTTCTTTAAAGTTGGAAGATCATATTATAGTATTGTATACAAATTCTTTATTACATAAAATGATAAGTGTTTTTTCACAACGCCTATGGCAATGTAAACAAGTAATAGCAGATAACATCTATCAGATTTACTACAAACTATTAAGATTTTATTATTTACAAAAACAAAAACATTTTCGCAATTATACATTACATTATTTATGATTTCTATTACAATGCAGACAAGGTATAAAATACCCACTATCTACTATACCTCTTAAAATCTTTTCAAATGAGCAACAAATGGTTTTATAATCGTGATTAAAATTGTTTATTGTTAAATACATAACATGAATTGACAATTTGAATAGAAGAAGGTATGTAAAAACAATTTATATACAGCAACGATAATAGTTATACTATAGAATAGGTTGTCCTTAAAATTGTATCTGCACAGAAAGTTGCTGAAATGGAGTTAAGTCAGCGTGAACTTGCCAAATAATGCCGTTAATAGTTTTGTATCTAATAATATTCATGTCCGGATGTAATAGGAAACAAACTCTATTAATATCGAGAACAGCATTGTCTACATAAACTTCTGGGTGTTGTATACTATTGAATAATCCTAATAAACGACACATACTATAATTTGAGAAATCCACATTGAAATTGGTGTCTCCGCCTAAAAATAAAATAACAAAACTACCAAATTAAGCTCATTTTTTGTTAATACATTTCTTTATTTGATCAAACTTATTTTAATGATAAATAGATCATTAAATTTTAATAGAAACATATAATAAAAAAAACATTAATTTGTAATTTCAATTTTACTTTGTCAATTATAACTTTGTTGTTGATTGTGTATTTTAAGAAAATTGTTTGTTAGTGATGACTAAATAACACATAAGTGCAAACATCAACTATGGTTACAATAATATATTAGGTAATTGTTAAGAAATGAAACTGTTTTTAATGATTTGATATTAAAACCGAAAGAATCCAACAATTCAAACAACTACATAGCAATCAAAGAGCAATAACTAAATTGAAAAGACAAAGTCTAATCATAATGTTACTTGACAAAAAGAGTCTAGTCAAGTATTCAAATGTTTTATGAGCTCCATACTTCTATTTTAGGGAAAAACTAAGTTGTGTGTTATTGTTAAGGTAATAAATTACTGTAAATCAATTATTATATTTTTTGTCAGACTATTAGATCTAAAATATCCACAAAACCGACCGCTTTCTTGTTAATACAAACAGTTACTCAAAAATGGTAAACAAATTCCAAATGAATATTTACGTATTAGACTACGGATTAAAGCCTTTACAGCTGGACTAGTCACATTTCTTCTTTTACGTCCAAAATCTGCCAGATCAAAGTTTTCATAATCTCCTTAATAACAATAATTACAAAAAAAAAATCATTATAATGTAGTAACATAAATCATATGTTTAAGTTTTAACTATATTAAATACACTTATTAAACTCATCATTTTGTAATATAACATATTATATATTCAAATTTATACTATATGCGACATGTGTATATAACTATCATGTTATTTTTATTCAATATACAACGCGCGTAGTGTGATATAGAACCTCTTTGAATAATTTCAATCAACTTTAAATACTCTAATAGATAGCGTACATACTCATGAGAGGCGTAACATTTACATAACAATAAGTTCATTAAAGAAGGGGTCGGGGACACACGACTCGACACGAACTTAACCGACACAAAAACGCACTATTTAACCCAGCTTACGGCGCAGCGAAGCACAGTTGTCTTCTTACATCTCTCATTCAACCTTCCTTTCCATATTGTGTGGACGCCAATGTCGGGTAGCTGTTATCAGTCCGCCGCGGCCACCAATATCCTAATCATTCCATATTGTGTGGACGCCAATGTCGGGTAGCTGTTATCAGTCCGCCGCGGCCACCAATATCCTAATCATTCCTTATTATCCTTACACACTCATACGCCAAGTCCGTCGCGATACATAAAAGATACTATATTCATTACAGTTCGATTACTTAAATCGTACGAGTTTCTTATCACACACGTGTCATTATCTAACCGATAAAAACACTGTTGTTCTTTCGTCCAATATATATATATATATATATATACCCATACTTAATTATTTTCCTCTTAAAAGTATCGTTGAAAGACGTTAATTCTAGTGGTCGAACAATCCTGTTACACCCACGTGACTACTTTTGGTCAGCGAGGAATGTAGTCGGCTTATAATAATTCAGTAGACGTTGTTATTTCTGACAAGCGCATACAACCATTGGTAGACCGTGTACTGAATTACACTTAAACGAGAAACAGATTATCGTAGGATAACGTTAAAACGCCAGTGTCTGAAATATTTTATGAACGAAAACATTCGCGTTAGAATAACGTTCATCTCGGCATATCAACATCGCATACTCAAGGGATATCGCCAAGGTCATAGAGCTTCGAGTAACTCCACGACAAGGTATGTACTATATACAATATTACAACACTGTGTAATGGTAAATCTAGAGGCAGGAAGTGAGCTCTTGTAGTAAATGTACACACATGCACACCCCGATTAAGAGACCAATATATAAATATTTAAAATAACCATTCACCGCCACTTCCCCTTGCTTTTCTTCTATTACAATAAGTTGCTCTAGTACTTGATATAGTTGCATGACAGTTAATAAAATAACTGTTGTGTTGTGCATTTGCTACTTACAAAGCAAAACCTTCGAAAAATGATTAAATGATTGTTTTTTACCTTCGTTTATCTCAGGTACATTGATACCTACGACCAAAATATAAGATATCAAATTACTATACGAAATAAAAAAATATTTATCTACAACATTTTATACTACAATTAAGAGTATTTAGACAATATAATCAATTTAAAAATGTAACAATTGACTAATATTGTCGTTTTTGTTTAGAACCCAATTACAATAATTAAAAATATTTGGTCGTATAAGAAATTCAGATTTAATATTTACCAGTGGCTTCTATTATTTCTGTTTGCAAACAACTCTGGTACCATAACTTCTCTACATTTTGAAACAACATAAATATTAATGTTCATCATTTGGTATGATAGAAATAATATCTAAGCCTATGATTATTATACTCAATTAATCACATGAATAATTACCATTACCTTCAATATTTTCGTTTTCACTTTCTAAAATTAGAGTTAAAACATTTTTGCTTAATAAATATCATATTATAACTACGCTGAAATATTACAATAAATTGATAAGAAAATGATTACCCGGTGCTGCCAGCATAAAAGCCATTTTCTCTAAAATTAACATAGTATACAAATATTATTTGATAAAATTAGATTAAAGTCGGAAATTTAACATTTTCATCACTAATTTCCATAACTGATGAATTTACTTGAAAACAATTTGTTGCAGATTTTCAAAACTATTATTTAATGAAATTGTACATCATATATATTTTCATTTGAAAATAATTTCATCTTCTACCATGCTCAATTATTATTGCTATAATTTTATTTAGTTTATAGTTATGATTACTCATCGAAGAAGGTCCGCGAACAATGTTTCGAATGATACCCAGCATTTGCACTGGAATAAACAAATACACCGGTTAAGCAACAAGGGACGAGCTAAATAATGAGAATGTGGAGACGTTCAAAACGATCATCACCATCTACAGTGCGGAATGACCAAGATATTAAATTTTTTACTTTTTGTTGCAACTACAGTTATTAGAGTATCTCAATGACATGTCTGTATTTTTGTGAACCGTTTGAGACACACGGGAAAAAATAAACATACATTATTTTTTTACCCCCACAATATTTTATTATTTTTAAAGTTTCAATTAAAATAAAAATCATCAGAATAGGAGTACATTCAAACTGGTTACCATTTTAGTTAAGGCTTCTCGTTTTGTAAGGGGGTTAGAAATTATAATTTTTCATTCATAAATAAATTGATAATAATCAACAAAAAAATACCATATTGGTTAATGTATTTTAAATATATTTTACCTCCTGCAAGCTCGATGAGTTGGTCTGTAATAAATTACATAAACATAGTTTAGTTTATAAAAAAATGTTGTATGTAAAAAATGTCTTACTGTTTATGATAACTTGCTTATCATATTCATCTGTAAAGTAATAATGAGGTTTAATTTTAGACTAACTAGTTGAAGTACGCGTAAAAAAAATTATAATCACCTAATTCAGCTATTAAGTTATTTACCAAGGTAAATGATATTAAAATACATAAAAATTTCATTTTTATCTGTAAAAATAATTAAAAAAAATTTTAATTCTGAAAAAGCTTTAAAAATGTTTACATTTTTCAACTTAAAAATACAATATTTTTTTTTTGTATAAGCAATGTACTTACAGTATTAGAAGTTGGTTAGTATTACTGAAATGCATTTATTAAATGATAGAACTTATAAGCAAAATACAATTCGACTAGCTTGTTAACCGTTTTTATATTATCTAGGTACCGTTTGTTTGTAGCCGAAACAGTAAAGTTTTAATATCATTTTATGGGTGCTATTTTTAATTTATTTACATGGCTGATTTTTTATGTTTTAATATGATAACATATTATTTACATTATCCTGACGCAAGTTAAGGCTATTTTTATTTCGGTTATTGGTTTAAATACC